GTGTCGTTCATAAAGATGTTAAATAATAGAGGACTAAGGAGACTTCCCTGCGGAACGCCACATCGTAACGTTGACCAGCTAGAGCACTTGTTATTGCATATCACCCTTTGCTTGCGGCTATGCAGATATGATCTTAAGAGTTGAAGAGCTGGTTCCTGAACACCGTAAGCCTTTACTTTTGCAAGCAGTAGATTGTGGCATATACAGTCAAAGCCTTAGACAGATCGATAGCAATCACACCCATCTCCTTCTTTTCGTCAAGGGCGCTTCTCCAATCATCCGTCAGCTTGATCAGCGCTGTAGCACATGAGTGTCCCCTGAGGAAACCTGACATGTTCGATGAGAGTATAGGTGGGAAAGAGGCATACAGCTGATCCCTCTCTTTCTGATCATTTCTTTGTTCATTGACAATTTAGCTTACACAGGCCACACCATATGCAAATTGCCTTCTAGTTTTGATAGTGAGTCAACAAAATGGGAAATGTACTCAGTAGGGCTACTACTATGAGAAACGATTTGTCTGCTGACGGCCGATTACGTCAATATTAGCCACGCAAAATAATTTGTTTACCATTCGATTCACTTTTTGGGCAGCCATCATTTGTGCCCAGTCCATCAGTCTGGTAATAGTTTATGTCGCCAGAAAGGTTACATAAAAGAAATTTTACCTCTCAGAAAACATGCGCCTTGCCATTGTTATGTATAAAACCATTTGCAGCAGTTATCATCTATTAAGTTAACAAAAGAAACCAACAATCACGATCAAGATGAATTAATGTGATCCTGTTCGTGTGTACAAAAACTCAAACAACCATAGAAAATGCGTCCCCTGATTGATCACCAAACCTTACTTATCGACTGTAAAAGCTTAATTTCAAGAATGGCTGACAATTACATCACATGTAAAAGACCTGTTACATTGCGGCAACAAGGAATTCAATGTGACGTTTGGTTACAGTGGAACCACAGAACCTGTAACAGTGGTAAGTTACCTTTAATACTTCATTTTCACTCAGTTTGTAAAACCCACTTTGATCTTTGAGGTGATGTCAGATATTTTTCGTTCCATAGCGGCTAACTTTTTTTTTATTCATAGAATTCCTCAACAAGATTATTAGGCTGCTGTACACACAGCTACTGGGATAGATTGGGTTTGCACAGCCTTGGTGACCTTTTCCACACGCGATCTGTAACTGGCTCTACTGTAAGCAGTACAGCTGGCACAAAAGTGACATCCACGGCAAAAAAGGCAGCATTGGAGGCAAAGTTAGCTACCCTTCAAAAACTGTACAATCTTCACATCGAAAGAGTTAAAAATTCATCAAAGAAAAGCGGAACTTTGGCTGCAAGCAGGAATCGCAGAGGCCGAAGCTGAAAGACAAGTGACTGGAGCAGCAGAGGCCAAGGAAAGCCGTGACCTTTTCCAACACTGAGATGAACTCACACCAAGCAAATCACGATTCGAACCGGCCAAGTCCTCCTCTACATCACTCGAAAGAAATTCTCTCCATCCTCAGAGCTCCGAACTTCCAGCACATAAGCTCATCAAGTCCTCATGTAAATCATAAAAAGAAAATCCAAAGTATCCTCCAAATCTTGAAACACCTGAAATACATTAATTTTCCTCACCTACTCGGCAGGAAGAATCGTTCCAACAATTGACAAAAGCTCAGGATCATCAGCACCATGCCTTGCAGCAACTCCTTGAGCAACAACAAGGTATGGTGGCACCAGCCCTACCACAGCCCAGTATGCAGTTCTTCGGCGGAGATCCCATCGACTACTGTGACTTTGTGCACGCCTTTAAGCATCAGGTAGAATGGAAAACCCAAAGTCCAAGTTCTCGTCTCTACTATTTAGTGCAATACACTTCTGGGCCTGTGCAGGAACTAATGAGAAGCTGTTTCTCTATGAGTGAACAAGAGGGAAATAAGGAAGCTAAAAGGCCCTCTTTCAACCAACCTTTAGGAGCTGTGGAATTCCTTGACCGCATATGCATTTGCAAGTGAGCAGATCCAAGTAAATTTATGGCCAATAGAGCTGTCATCCCACAACGAGGCCAACAGTCTGTACAGCTCACTTCAGGTCAGCAGAGGAATCGCTCCCACCACCTGAATTGTAATCTGACCAATTTCAATGAGATAAAACCATTATTTATGGCATAGGGTAGGGTATACACAGTTGCATTTAATTAAATTGTAAAGGTATTTGACATGTTTCATTTTTTAGGAACATGTGCAGCTGACCTAACAATAAGAGACGACGAGCAGTGACGACGAGCATGTGAACTTCAATTACTGTAACATGAAAACCAAACCATAATGCTATCACACATGCCCAAACATGCACGAGTGCTCATCCACATCTGGTAAAGATTCCATTTGCCACCATTTGCTGCCCTCTGGTGAACTTGAGTATTGCTTGACATGTTTTCTTATATTTTCTAACTTACTGTAATTTTGCAATTCTTGAATCCTAAGGTTTTGTTTGAAATTAAGACAGAGACCCCAAGTAATAATTGCCCTTTCTGTGATGGAAAAAAAACCTGGGTTCTTCGATGTTGCAGGAAAAATTGGACAGTCCTAGTATAATAAAAAATGGGCTTTGTCAAAGAAGTGATCAATGATACAGAAACATCAGGGTCAGTTTCAAGCCCTAATGATCAGTATTAACATTAGATGAACAAGACAACTAACGATTATACATATTTTCCACACACTAAATTTTGGTAAGTAGTATTTGGTAGGACTGCCCTCATTGTGACAGTGTTAATAGCCATCTCTAAAATTTTACAAGGCATCATTGGCCGCCACATTCAGACATTAACAGCCACAAGCCCAGGATTCAAGGTTCAAGTTTAATTCGCACTATGCAAGTTGATACAGTACAAGATGGCTTACAGAATCAGTAGGTTAACAAATGATGGAAAATTAATATAATGTACAAGTTTGTTGATATGAGCACAGTGACCATCGTGTTGGTCACTGTCCCATTTAAGTAAATAGAGGAGTCCGGATAAAATCACCCAGGAGACCAATGACAGAAAGGAGCTTGCCGTCCACCTGGCCAGACAGTATGCAGAGGACCATTTTGAAGAGGAACCCAATGATGGCCAACTGCAGAGTCTCGATGACTGCCCAGTCAAACTGGGTGACTCCTCCGGTACAAGAATGTTTCAAGGAACCTTGGCAAACTGCAACTCAGCTGTGAACAGTGGATGGAGAGTTTAGAGACCCTAGTGCGTGTTACAATGGTAGTGGCAAAGAATCGACCAGGATTACATTAACTGTGCATCTCCCTGCGTCAGATACACGAGGTCGTCTTTGCAGGTTAGGTAGGGAAGAATTTTAGTGTAAGGGGTGTGGCCTGAATTAAAGTCTAACAGCCTTTCACTGCTTGTAAGGTCTACAAAAATACCTATGGTACAAATTTGGATTATTTTTTTCCACCATTCCTCATATGTTTTAGAATTATTGAAAAAGCTTGTACTGGATTACTTGGCATTTGAATGGCTATGTCAAAAAATACAGTCTAACAGTCCTATTAAAATTCCCAATAAGATGTGATTTTCTGTTCCATCTTTCAGCCTGCCCTGCTTCCAGATCAGAGGAGATCAAGTGACCAGTAAAAATCCTCAGTCACCCGGGGCAAAACTTTCTAGAAAGCGGAAGGACTTGATCAAACGGTTAGACAGTGTGATCAATAATGGTACTTCAAACATCACAATCAATTACTTTAGGTATGTTTGTTGTTGTTTTTTTTCAATCAAAATGTGAAATTGTTGCATGAGTACAGCATGCACTATGAGAGTACAGCATGTCAGACACTGTGAAAGTGGTCTTCAGAAGATATGCAAATAAGATTGCTGACAAGCTTAACAAGAAATTGCTGGAGAGAAGCGGGGTAAATGGCAACAAATTTGCATGTGTTGTACCTTGTTCTTGGCGAGGAACTTACAGGAAGACTTCCAACAACTGTCCCCATAGTAATAAATATTAGCAAGGAAACCATAGCCCAAGTATTTTTCTTTGCGGAGGGTCTATGAAAAGGTGTGAAAACTATAATTTACTCAATTAAGGATAAATAATGTGATATTTTCACTTTGGCTGAGGCAAAATCTGTTTCTTTTTCCATGGATACAAAATAATGGAAAATAAAAGCAAAATGCATTCATACAAAGAGGAAAAATTGTTGATGAAACATTGTACCACATTGTCAGCATTCTCTTTTCATCCCCCTTTGGGCTTACTTAAGGCGATGCCTAGTTACTTTTGAAATTTCAGAGAGACTCGCCTGTGAGGATGATCTATGTCATGATCATTTACTGACAAACCTTAACTCAAAATGAATTGCCACAGACACTGCAGCATTTCCTTCCTCTATACATTACAACAATTGTCATGGAAAGGTTAGCCTGAACCATCATGAACAAAACATTTCATACAGAGTGCTACCAAGAATTAACTGAAAATGAAAACGATGCTATCAACAATGACGACTTAAAAAGAAAGAATTTGCTTCACCCTTCGTAAGGCCAAGAAACGTTATCTGTGGGGTGACTTGCACTGCATTGACAGAGGCCATAGTGGACAAAAACATGGCCTCCAAGAACTTGGTTATGGAACATTGCACTGCAAAGGAGCTGTCCACAAGGCCTTCTTGAAGGTTGTTCCAGACAAATTGCCAGGAGGCAATTTACTAGTAGATAGAGAGGCTTATATTGAACAGTTCAGAAAAGAACATGCTTCAGAGTGCTAAAGCAGCTATCTTTAGGGAAGTACACCCAGACTAATAAATAACAATAGTTTCACACCAGAACTGTCTGGCTAAGATTAAACAGCTTAAGCAAAACTTGTAATACACTTGATTATCAACTGGCTAACAGCGATTGGCCAGTCATAATTTTTCAATGTGAATAACATTGCAGTAATGCTCATGGTTTATAGAAATTAGACCTCTATGCAGTATTACAGTTAAATTTCACTATTATATAACTATTGTTTTTAAAGAATCTCACCCACCCAGTTTGCATTGCGCGCTCACGCTCAACTCACGCTCTTCATTCGCCATTTTCAGGGCCCCCGAAAATCCAAGTTTTATAACCTTGATATTCCATCCTTTCTTTCGATAATTTATTGGCGTTGTTAAGGTCCTGTTTCCTCTGGAATTACTTCTATAGTTTCGGAACTATCTTTTTGATTCACATTCGTGGAAGAAATTTCTTTCCAAGGGCACTGTGTACTTAGTTTTCTGTCGCATTTCGTTGAAACGGCGGCCATTATGGCGGATAGCCGTCCTGCTAGGGGCCGTCCAAGAAGACCAGAAGGCATCAAACGCCTTAAACTCAGGGAATCTACATACAATCTGTGGATTGAACGGAAGGAGGCCCTTGGGCTACACGGAATTACGAATAATGATTTTGCGGCGATGCTTCTTCACCAGCAACTTATACGAGAGCGTGATCGATCTCCTCACGCTCATCCAGATGATACTTCACCTCAAGTGCATCAAGGTAAAATATTGAATAATTTTTTAAAAAAACTCACTTTTTTTATTATGCCATTATAGCAGTTTTAGTATTTCGCTATTTTTTTTGTTATACATTGCGCCTTCTTTCGTATTTTTTGGTAGGAAGAAGGCAGCTATTCCTCCAGTCGACCCCGATGGGTAAAGAAATCAGGACTGAGAGTATCACAGTTTCCCCTTTATCCTTTGCTGGTGCTGCAGAAAACTCAAGTTTGAGCAAGTGAGTACTTTTAATTTAGCGTAGAGTCTACAATCGGTATGTTGTGTTAAAATGATAGGCTTGGAAACCTTGTACTAATATCATACAACAATAATGAGTTTCTTCATGGCTTCGTTCATGTTTTGTTGTATTTAGGATTGAATTTGATGAGCTAGAGAAAGACCAACTGACCGGGCACAGGACTCTTTTGGATGAGCTTTCTAATTGGAATCCCCTGTTTTCCTCTCTAGAGGCAACCCTCATTCAGAGGCAGAGACTATGAGTGAAGTGGAGTAAGTGTGTCTATTTCTCTTTGCATTTCTCGAGACAATTTTTTTTTGCTGAGATAAATACTCCCACTCTTATATGAGTTCATAGCTAAGCTGCTTAGAATGGAATTTTATGCAGAAAAAACAACATTACTTGGAACAGCATTTTCACATCCTGTTACTATTAAAATTTTTTATCACAGAAAGTTCTGTTGTACTGTTCAGTGCATTAGCAATATTTTATTTTATTAGCTTCACCTATTACATGACACACAGCGAGCAAAACAAAGCTGAATAAGTAAGCATTCATTGTTAGGCAAAGATTCCACAACACAAATAAGCCAATTACATTGGTCACTGAGTTTAAGAACAACAAAGAAGCTACATTTGATTATTAAAAACAACAACAAAGATGGAAAGACACATTACATGAAACATTACATGATGGATAGATGGTAATAATGGTGAAGTTGTCATTTCAGGTCTGGTGATCATGCTTCTGATGCTAGTGACTCCAAGACTGCAGATAGCTGGGACAACAGTGATCAGTTCAGTGAGTCTGATGATGGCAATAGGAGTGAAGAAGAAATAACTTTTGAAAATATAGAAGTTGATCAAACAAGGTAAAGAATGACATGTACTTGTTTATTTTGCCATGGCAATTTGGAAAAGAGTACTTATAAACACCTAAACCCAATTTTAGTATTTTGAAAAGATTTTTTAAATGTTCATTAGGTTGGAATGTTGAATTTATGATGATATGTTTATGTTATGTTTCTGTTATTTTTACAGCTTTTTGTCCGAACTTGACAGCGCCACATTGACAGCCCTGGACATTGATCTTGAAATGGAAAGTGCCCCCGAAGCAGTAGGAGTGCAGGCCCAGACAGAGGGTGAGCCCACAGGTCCAGCAGAGGTGCAGACAGAAGGTGAAACATGCAGTGAGTCATCACCAATCCTTCCTGTCTTTGGCCCAATGACTTTGGATGAGACCATCGAGGATATGAAATCCAGGATAAAGCCTGCAATTGAAGGACTGGCAATACCTGGGGAACACCTGAATAGGTATCTTGAGTTGTTGAAGGCGGACAGGGTTATTGTGGAGGTGGAAAAGATTGTAGAGTTGCTGGAAGGAAATTGTCCAGAAATTGGGTGTACAGGTCAACGAAAAGTCATAAGTAAAAAATTGGAGGGTGGTGTGTTGCTGATAACACACAAGTGTAGTAATGGTCATGGTGGTATGTGGAGTTCTTCATCTATTTTGGGTGAAAAACGTGGCCAAAAAATGTATGTGTCATCTGTGTTGTTGGCCTCATCAGTTCTGGTGTCAGGAAACAACTTTGAGAAAGTTGCTCTGCTAGCAAAGAGCATGAATTTGAATTTTGTTTCGTCTTCCACCTTCTCAAGGGTTCAGAGTTTATATGCTGTACCCAGCATCAGGGACATGTGGGATAAAATGAAGGAAGTGGTTTGGAAGGTTTTTGAGAAAGATGTTCTTGTGGTTTGTGGTGATGGAAGGATGGATTCCCCTGGGTTCAGTGCAAAGTACTGTGTGTATACAATGATGGAGCACTACCTTAATGTAATTGTGGATCTTGAGGTGGTTGACAAACGAGAAGCAGGTGGTACGTCCTCTTTAATGGAGAAGATGGGGTGTAAACGACTTTTGGAGAGGATGATGAATGGCCTCAAGCTTGGAGAGGTTGTGACGGATGCATCACGAGTCATCATGAAAATAGTCAGGGAACTTAAAGGTATTTTTAAGTTTTTATTTTTAATTTTTCCCAGGGCGTCTTTTTTTCTGTAACAAGTTGGATGTTTTAATACCAAATTCAAATCAACCAACCTATTCCAACATACAATACTACCATTGTTACTTATGAAATAATAAAACTGCTTTTTCTAATAAATTTACTCTGCTTAAAGGCTAGTTTACAGAGTGGAATGACAGATTTCCCTTATGGTTTTTTTCTGGTTTCTGAATTCATGACAAATTTATTGTGTCTTTTCACAGTTAAATTTGTCCTATGTTAACACATTTCTAATTTGTTTATTATCATTTTTGCAGAAGCAAATTGTGAAGTGCTTGGAAACCTTTTCCACTCCCTTGACATCTGGCATAAATCTATAAAGCTGACTGCCAAGATAACCACTGTATGTAGATTCTGATTTATTACTTGTAAATAATCCCTCAGAACTGATTTAGTCCATTTTGTGTTGTGCTTAACTATATTTTGTATTCCTATCTCTCAATATTTCAACAGACTTGACTGCCAATGTGCTTCCTTTTTTATAGGCTGGGAAGATTAAGGGCTGTGACCAACTGTTACAGTGGGTTGAACCTGTGAGGAACCATTTCTGGCATTGTGCAGAAACTTGTGATGGAGATGTTGAAGAGCTGAAGGTATAAGTCTTACAATTATTTGTTTGACTGTTTGAAACTGGATTGCTCCTGGTGACATTTAAAATCAAAACAATTTTTATGTTTTATTAAGGGTATGTGGCTGGGAATCCTACATCATGTCTGTGGAGAGCATGAGTGGGATGGCGGGATGTGTTCCCATGGACCACTCACAGAAATAGAAGGTGGAAAAGAATACCTCCCTATGACTTCCAAGGCTGCCAAGGAACTCCGAAAGATTGTTTTAGACCGGGAGTGGCTGAAAAGTCTAGAGCATTATGTCAGGTTCAGGTATGGATTTTTTAGGATCTCTGTGGTTTTAATCACTCTTTCTTGAAACTCTATCAGTTGTGTCCTCAACCAGCTACAATGTTTATAACAACTTACACTTTATCTGGACTGAGGCAATAAAAAGTAATTTTTTACGCATTTTTTTTAACTTTTTCTTCCTAGAGGTTTTTTAGTTACTGGAGAGGTGCATAACAAAGGCCAAATATGACCTCTGACATTTTGTCAAATTTCCTTCTCTTGCTAAGATATTGTAAGCAAGTTGAAATTATTTTCAAGCTTTGAACTAGTAGTTTTTGTGGGGGCTAGATGGACAGGATTTACAGGGAATCTGGCTGGTCTTTACTTAGTTAAAATAAAATCATTTTTTTAGGCATACAAGCAATTTGGAAAACTTCAATTCCATGCTTCTAAAGTATGCACCAAAGAGGATTGCCTTTGCGTAAGTACATTTCACTATTAATTAGACAGTGCATGCTTTACCAGACAATATTAAATGGTGACATTTTCAGATGCTATTGTCCTCCTTAAGTATTAATAAATGGGTTGTAATATCATGTTTTAGGTATGAAGTTTTTACTGGACGGATTTTGCTCGCAGCTCTTGACCACAATTTTCATGTTTTCCGGAAGACACTGGAAGGCCGGTTTAAGAAAATTTATTCTAAAAGATCAGGTAACTGGAGGGTGGAACCGGTGAAGGGGTCAAAGCAATATCCTCACATGTCTCTGCTCCAGGCAGACATCTTAAGACGCCGCAGTGAAGACACAGAAGCTGTTACCAGACACATTGAAGTTTCCCCTGCAAATCCTGTCCATCTGGCTCCAACAATAGCCATGAAAAGGGCCCCTTCGACTGAGGAGCTGGTCAAAGCCAAATTATCTCGATTTCAAATGGAAAAGAAATCACAATAGGTGCCAAAGAACTCAGCATCAGTAAAAATGCAATCTTTGAAATTACTTTGAAGTGGTGTGTAGAAAAAGAAACTAGATTACATGTACTCTTGAAATACTGTTTAATTCCCCTTTGTTCTACAAGGAAATGTAGGGAAATTTAGAATAAGCAGTAACAAATTTAACAAAACCCACACTACAGCTTCCTTTGTTGCACACACTCTTTTTCAGTTTTCAATCCAGTTAGAATAAATAAATAGATACATTATTTATTTATGATAATAATTATTGTTATTGTCAGTGGTTGCAAATTTACCCACAGTTCTTCATCTAAAATATTCAAGGTAAACTGGTAATGTAAAGAAGTAGATTTTTGAGGGATAATCCACAAAGAACAAAGCCTCCCAAATAACTGCATACCTCTGTGATTGGAACCCCAACCTCATTAGTGGTATGTGAGAGCTCTAATCACTACTTTGTCCTTGCTTCCCAATAGGAGTCAGATTATCAGCATTGGGTTTGAATATAGTAATTTTAGATGAATATAGTTTTGAACATGAGAACCAGACATCAACTTTGGGAATTGTATCATGTTACATCATATTTAATTTGAGCATAATTAAAAGAAAGAAGTGGGCTATAAATGCTGGTTGTTATAATTCAACAGAAAAAAATTTCTAAAGAGAAATTTAAAAGCATTTTTGTCAGTAAATAATAAACAAGTAAACATTTCTATAAAACTACATGTTGTCTTTCTTTACATAGTTTGGATTTCTCCATTTGTAGTAGTACACCTCTGTTAAGGCAGACACTTGGTCCTTGAGTCACACTCCCTTTGTTTGACTGACTAGAAGACAGACAATACTCATGGAGAAACAGTTATTGCTGGTCCCAAAAGTGTCCAGCTTAAAGTGTTGAATGTATAATAAACAAGAACAGTGAAGAAATAGAACATAACTGCACTTCTCTACTTATTTGTATCAATAACAATAAAGGTATTTTGCCCCATGTAAGGGAATCAGGACAGTCTGGGATTCTGGAATCCACAATGGATTTCTGCATTTGTTATTAGAACTTGGATTCTGGATTTCAATCATTAGTGGGATTCTGGATTTCTTCAGTTGTATTCTGGATGCCAAAACCCAGGATTTCTGATTACACAATCAAAAAATTTCTGGATTCCGGAATCCGGATTCCCTTTCATGGCGCAAGATATTGGTTTTTTCTAACGCTAAGAACGGCGAAAACCCATGTAATTACCGTCTGGTGCGGGATATGCTTGGCGAATAACTATTACTACACAAGAAGGCAATATTTTTCGATTCCCTCTACCAAGTTTACCAAATTTCCACAATGTGTATTGCCGGTAAGCGGCCTTCCTGTAACTTTGAGTAGAGTAATCGGGTTCGTCCGCGCGGATGTCGCACCTGGCTCTTATAGCTAATTGCAGCACTTCCCGATCGAGGCAAACCGTGTTAAACATGACATAAGAAGTTACACATGTCCTCTTTTTGCAACAGACGTTTTCCTGTTCATCCAGCATTCTCCTGCAGACACCACAAGTACACCAAGTTTCGGGTATATTTTGCTCTGGTTGAGGCGATGGCGGGTCAATGTCATCGCTCCCGGTTAGCATGTTTCTAGCAAATTCAAGGCTACCGCGTCCTTGACTCAGCAGCCTAATAAGAAGCTGGTCTTTATCGTCAGAAGATAGTTTGGTCACAAACTCCTACAAAAAGAAAAGAGAAAGGCCAGACATAAATAAAAATATAACTAAGCTTATGTGTATAATACGGAGGATGCGCCGAGTCTGAAATAATTTGCATACATGATCCAGGTAAGTAAACTAACTTGAATATAATTTTATAACCTCGTAAACAAACCTTTATTTCGCGCTGAGAGTCCTCTACAGCTTGCCTGTGGCGGGCAAAAGCACTCGGATTTCCGATCTCCTGACCTTCCGCGACCTGGTTTTTGCAAGGTGCTTTCTTTGTACCACACTTGCAATTTGTAGAACATTTTAGGTTCGCATTTTGGCACGGACAGCCTGCGTATCTTGCACTTTTCTTGCGGCTGCAAGTTTTTTTACAAGTGCAAACCTACAGCGAATAGAGCTGAAGTTAGTCAGAGCAGTAACAACGGGTAACTGAAACGACACTAAAACAAAATTTTTAGTTTGACCGAATTCTTACCACGCGATTGCTGTTGGCGTCGCTGGTACTTGGCGCAGCGACTGCGCCGGTAACGGTGGTTTCACGGCTATGAGCCCTGTTTACGGTTCTAATCGGCGATCCATACGCGTTGACCTCAACTTCCTCATCAGAAAGGTCACTTTCTGAAAAATCACGCTCACTGTCTCCTTCAATTTCCATAACAAATGTGACCTTTCACGCTTGTCTGGACGTGGCTTATCTTTGACCAAATATGGGAGCGTTATAAGCATATCCCGGATAACAACAACAACAAAGGCGCGCAATGCAAACTGGGTGGGTGAGATTCTTTAAAATCGTAATGGCACTTTTGAGTAGCATAGGAAATGTCATGAGTTTATACAAATGAGTAAATTATTCAAAGAAGCTCTACTTGTCACATAAAATGCAGAGTATCAGAAAAACAAGAGAAATGCCCCTGCTTTGGTTTGTTTTTTCCACCTCTTTGATAATAAACTTAACAATCCACAGTAGATATCTAGTTTAATTAACGTAATTATGTCAACAATATCTAATTATTTAATGTATTCATCATGTAACCTTTTTCCTTTTTGATTTGTGACATCGACACCAGAATAGGAAAGGCCCGGGGGTCCTCAATGCTCTTTCTACAGTATGGGTATCTCCAAGTAAGAAAGAAACTAAAATGCACCTGTTCAAAGCTACAATCAAGTCCATCCTTCTCTATGGGTCCGACTCATGGTCACTGACAATAAATAGAATTAAACCAGGATACTCCCCCCGATGTACCATATTGGTTTCTTTACATGGAATTCAGGTGGCAATAATGAGCCTCCACAAAGAGAAAATGAAGAGCAAGAAAGCCAAACCTAAGGAAATGCTACAGATGCTGTAACATCTAGAGAGGTATGAAGGAAAAAAGGAGAATGCTTGGCCATGGGTTTCCTAAAGACTGGATGAAAGAATAACAGTGGTTGGTAGTATAATGAAGAAGAAGGTAAGATGTACAGCAGAGTTTGCAAAGGCTTCCCTAACATAGCTGACAAGAGCAACAGTTTCGTGAAGGGAAATAAGAGTTTTTATTTGAGCAATATCAAAAGCCACGACAAAACAACAACAAGACTTTATTCAGCCAGGGTAAAATCAGAATTGCACAAGTAATTTTCATCAAGACCCTGAAAGACCAAAGCCATCAACATCTAAGATGTCTCTAATATTTCAAAGCTTTGCCATGTGGAAAGACCAGTATACTACAATGCTTAATTTCTTTTTTATTATTCCTCTAAGCCTGGTAGCCAGGTAGGAATTTTGAAATATTGAAATTGGTCTATAGAGTTCTGAAGTTTGAAATCATTAAAATTACATTTGTGAAATTATGGGATTTGTAGGGACATTCAGAAACAACAACATCCAAGAGGCCTCCCTGCCAGAAACTAGCATTTCGGGGCCAATTGTCTCTGAAAATATTAGCCCAGTTATATTCTGATGACTCCACACAAATCCTTCTAAATTTGACCTGGGTCTAACCATTCTTAATTTTATCTTCAATCTTTATCTTTAGAAATGATAATTGCCACTAGCGTTACAAATAATTCTAATCCATAATAATGGAGTGGCCAGCAAACACTTAATTACATGGTATAAGAACAGATTAAAAACAAGGATATTAACTTTTAATTTTGCAGGTTACTATACCAGCATCTAAGTGTGTTACAATATTGTGCGACACACTGTGTTTTTGTGATCTAGTTGCCATATTTGATATTATCATATTTGGTCATTAAAAGAATGCAGTTTTTACTTGAACTCGATGGACTCTTACCTGTTGAAACATGGTGTCAGAAAGAACTCCGTTTTACTTGTCGAAATTTTTGTTCAAGTCCATGTAAAAACCAGTGGAAGTTGCTAGCAAATCCTGTTCCCTTCGCCTAATCGCATTTCTGAAGCAATCCACTCATTGAAAGCGCAAGAAGATGCCGACAGATGGTGACCACATGGAGCCGCACAGTGCAAGCAGCATTCAACCTCCAGTGCCAGCATATATTCCCCAAGTTTTATAGCACAATTTTCCGCTGCGAGCGCAATTAATTGCCTAGGAGACGTTGCTGGAAACTGGGAGTTTTTCAGCAGATGATCTGTTTTCATATTCAGTCATGCCTTCTCTTGCATATTATCCTTTGGCCATTTTATTTTAAACTGTATTTTCTTGCACAATAGATTATTGCTGTGAAGCCACCAGCCCTCCCAAAACACTAATTCAGGCTACATATGCAACCTTCCTAGGTTAAATGTGGACAAAACCAAGATTTCAGGATGGAAATATGTCTGTCAGTATGTCACTGAATCTGCCTCCACTTTGTGAACCTCAAATCGAGACCCTTTTTCACAGTCAATCAATTCAGAAAGGAAGCACCACATTTTCTTGGGGAAAGGGAAAAGAAAATATTGTATACTACAAAACACTTGAACATAGATAAACAAGGATGTGGAAAAATCCTGCTTTGTGACGAAAGCCATGTTCATGCAAGTGAAGTAAGTGAACGTAAAACAATTTCCACAAATTGAACCAATATATGTACATTCTCATTTCAGTGGGAGGAACCTGTTGTAGAAATAAATCTCTCAACAGCATGTGAAGAGCCAACAGGTCTACAAAAAGAACTCACAGAGGAAGCATCAGCCATGGATTTTATTCAGCATTTTTTTCAACATGGACTTCCTTTAAAATATTGTCAATGAAACCAACAGATTCGGAGGAGAAAGGGAAGTTGAAGCAGGTAAAAGAAACCAACTTTGGACTAACCCTTTGACTGTGGCTAAATTAAAAGCCTGGCTTGGTCTACTTATTAGAATAGGCATCAAACATTTGCTTTAAGTTTCTTATTACTGGTCGAAAGAGCTGGTTTATGGAGTCCCAGCATCTGCTTCAATAATGGCAGGAACAAGTATCTTCACTTCAGTAAAAAATTCAAATCTAAGAAGCTGAAATTGCCAAGCTCTACAAGGTGATGTCTCTTTAAGATGTTTTGAAATCCCGTTTTGAACACCAGTACAGTCCTCACTACATCCAAGCAAAATTGTGACAACTTTGCATAAAGAAATATATGACAAAAACCTTTTTTTTTACAGTTTTTTCACTAATGTCCCCCTCGTAAAAGATTTATTAGAAAAACAAACCTTTTCTTGTAGAACTGAAAGGGCACATTCAAAGAAATTACATCACAAAACAATACCAAAGAAAGAGCACAAGCTGGCAAGAGGGCAGCAATTGTATCAAGCGAAGGAATGTCTTTCCAATGAAAACTTTAACATTATAAGATTATGCCTAACAAACATATAAATGAAGCAAATACAATAGCTATCTATATCAATAGCTACTTTCTTTCTATGGCATGATATCCTGTAGTGCATCCGTTGGTAATTACTTTTGTTTAAGCTTTATAAAATAAACAGTGTAAGAGTCTTCCAGTCTATGCTACTTCCTGTTTTAAGATCTAAAGTAAGACTACTGTTTTGGAACTAAAGCGTTACTTGACAGTGAATAGAGGCTTTGAGCGTTTAAATTGTGCGATCGCGTTCACTTACCCGGAGAGATGAGACCTTCTTATGCTTCTCTTTGCTCCGTATCTATTTTTTGGGGGGGAAACGAGACAAACTTTCCCGCCGTCCTTCAGCCATCATCAACTTGTCAATGGTTTGGATTGCTGACAGTTTGTTGTCAATGCTTCACGCATCAGCCAATCGTATTTTGCATTGTGAGGCCAACACACATTTCCTTGGGTCTGGCTATGCGAGCAGTCTCTCTTTTTTCTTCTTGGGCTGCCGTCCTCGTTTCTTGGCCACTCAACACTCACACGGGGGTGCACTCCCCTTACTAAATCTGAAGAAAAAGAGAGACTACTCGCAGTCTGCTACATACAACACCAAATCAACCAGATGTTTCGAAAAAACCTGCGACAGGTCAGTGGAAACTATCAGAATGTGGCCAATCTTACTTCTGGGATACCAAGATGGAGCTGAAATTAATAAAGGAGGGACTGTCAAAGCAATGTACATCACAGCCATTCTTAGGCTCATCACGCAACGCCTCTCCTCCTCTCTCAAACCACATTCCTTTCCCCTATCTGACCAATCATAATTTGGTTGTCATTTCCTGAAACTGTTCACGCTAGTAGAAAATAGCCTATCACAGCACGTCTTATATAATACAATCAAAATGGCATCTCTCCGTGTTGAACATACACAACTTTTTCCTTGTAGCTTCTAAGGTTGAAATAATTGTTTTCTTTAAACATGCACCAGAAGAGAGCTATAAATGAAGTCCCAAAAGGGGAAAAGATGTTTTTGTAAACTTACCAACTAGCTATGTGAAGTCAGTTATATACATGTAAGAAGGCTTACTGACCATTTTTGATGCACTTCAATTAAGTTTAGCAGGCCACCTGATATTATGTGATGGTGCGATTTCGCACAATTGACCTCAAATCGCATCCGATCGCCAATTCACAAAAAATCGCATAATTCATAAGAAATCACACAATTCTTAGAAAAAAAACATAAATAAATGCTTTATCTGAAAAAATTCTGCGTCTGCACTTAGGTTCAACATGATTTACCTTCGAAAAAGCCTAAGAAACGTTCTGAAACGATCGATTTCACAAACAATTGAGGCTCAAGGCATTATTTTCATTTTTGGAGGTCCTGGGCCTGGTGCTAGTTTTTTCATTCTTAAAGAATTGCGTATTGGTTCAACTCAAACAATTCTTTTCTTTGAGTTATCCTATCAGAATTGCTGATATAAATCCATGACATATCACCCTTCTAAACTCACATTGTAAGTACGTGGTAATCAGAAATGAGCAAAATTTATATCAGGGAAGCATTGGTTGACATCAGAATGTGAGCTTATTTAAGTTCTTTCACGTACATCGCCGACGTCCAAAAACCCTTCCTTTTGATTGGCAACCCAATAACTCTACCTGTTTAGGCTAATTTAAACAGTACAATTTTTGCTTATGACTATCATCCATGACTACCGTAAGTCATGACTTTTGACCATCCACATGCCACAATTTTCACTTACAACATTCACTGTGTGTCATACAAATATTGCAGGTCTAATTTACAGGACACAATCTGTCATGTAGTCATGACACACGCTAACAGCACACAATAGTCGTAAGCAAAAATTGTATTGCCTA